GCAGCTGCATAGCACAGCTAGCAACGCAGTACTTGTTCCCGTATCTCAGGGAAAAAAGCTAAAGACACTATGGGAATACAATCACTCTCAATATGAACTTTCAACGCCCTGACGGGACAGAGTAAATACAACTCTTGGTCTTGAAAGCCAGAAAGGTGCGAAGGCCCAACATACTGCCAGCATTTCCAGGCAGTTGATGTGAAGCCGACCCTCCTCTTTCGACCAGGGGCCGAAAGCCGGTTTGCCATCGCACAGCGCTCCCCAACCTGTGTTGGAAGCGTCTGTCGAGACCACCTTCCTTCTGCAGACCATTTCCAGGGGCACGCCCCGTTCCATCCACTGAGGTTCTTTCCAGGGCGCAAGAGCTGCTATGCAGGCCTGGTCCACCTTGATACGAAGGCGTCCGAGACACCAAGCGTGGGACGGAACTTGTGGTTTCAGCCAGTACTGAAGGGGCCGCATGCGAAGTAGGCCCAGCTGAAGTACCAGAGGCACGGAGGCCATGAGGCCAAGCATCTTCTGAAACACCTTGAGAGGGTGAGAGGCTCCAACTTTGAATGAGGTTGCGAGCTGCTAAATGGCCAGTGCACGTTCTGGCGAGACTACCACCCTCATTTGGGTTGGGTCGAGAGCTGTTCCCAGGAACGATATCCGTTGGCTGGGGGACAGAGCGCTCTAGGCAAAATTAACCCCGAGTCCCAGGCATTCTAAGTGTTTGAGGAGGAAGGATCTGTGAGATAGTAGCTCATCCTCCAACTGGGCCAAGATGAGCCAGTCGTCGAGGTAATTCAGAGTGCAGATTCCCATCTGTCTCAGCGGGGAGAGAGCCGCATCCATGCACTTCGTAAAAGTGCGAGGAGCTAGGGACAGGATTCGAAGGGAAGGACCGTGTATTGATACGCCACTCCCTTGAAGACGAATCTCAAGAATCGTTTGTGGTGGGAGGTTATCTAGATATGAAAGTAGGCATCTTTCAGATCCAGCGAAAATAACCAGTCCCCTGGGCACTCTTGCGAGAGGATCGGTTTCAATGTAATCATCCTGAACGGCCGTTTCATGAGGGCGAGGTTCAGGTGCCTGAGATCGAGGATGGGCCTTAGGTCGCCATGCTTTTTGGGGTTGAGGAAGTAGCGGCTGTGGAATCCTGACTCGCTCTGAGCGGGTGGAACCGCTTCTACAGCTCCTTTCGCCAGCAAATTCATCACCTCAGAGCGCAGGACATGTGCGTCTTTGCTCTGAACCGAGATGGGAACCACGCCACTGAATCGCGAGGGTCTTCGAGCGAATTGAAGTGAATAGCCTCATTTTATTATCCCCAAGACCCAGTCTGACACTCAGAGGTGGGTCGCCTTGTCGGGACCCGACACTTGCGATAAATGGAAGAGGAATTTTGCTCTCCCTTGAAAATGTTTGTGCTTTATTTTGCTCGCTGCTGATTGTGTGAACGCTTTTTGAACGGGCCCAGGGTTTACAACAGTATTTACAACAAACACCTTGCCGTCGGCACCCGGAGCTGAAGGGGTGCTTGGAGGCCATTTGGGGGCGCTAGACTCAATGCATTCGTAATGAGGGCAGTCAGCCCCCGTGGGCGTGGCCCAGACGCATCTGGAGTCTGAAGCTGTCAGTGATGATAATCATAGTGACAGCCTTTTCTTCCAATCTGCCTAAAAAGATCAAACTGCTCATTAGAAGAGGGGTACTGATGATCCTTATGTGTAAACACACCGGCAGATCAAAAGTGTTGCCCGTATATCAGATCCGCTCATGGCGGACGAGGGAAGGGGCGGGGCCAAATTCATTGAAGAAGGCGAGCTGCAAGCGAAGCAGAGCGAGACAAACTCTCAAGCGTGAATTCACTCAAGCCTGATCGCTCAACCCTGCGATTTCGCCGTTTCTTTCTCCAAGGTAACTGGGAGGAGAGAAATGCCAGAGCAAGGGAGGCGGGGGCCATCTTCATTGAAGAAGGGGACCTCTGCTGCTGTGACGCTGAAGGCAGCGGAAGAAGCAGCGAATCAGCCGAGCGGAGAGGTCGCTGGTTCAGCTGCGAAGGTGTTTCAACGGCGAGCAGGCTTCGAGTCTAGTAAATCAGTGAAGGACGTCGTCGTCACTGAAGGAGAAGAAATCTGAGGATCCTGTGGCGAAGCGCCCGCTTATATAGCTGGGCTTCGTCGCCATTGGTTAGTTTTTAATACACTGCACGAACCAATGGCCGTGCAGTTACTCCGCGTGATAGAAAAAAGGCTTCAGTTCAGGAGAAAAAAAAAGGCTTTTTCCCCATAGTGTCTTTAGCAAGACACAGTACGAGTGAAGTATCGATAGGGAACTATGACTTCTGCTTTTGAAACGTGAGAAGAATACATAGTGAAAGCAGTCGGATCTGACTCTGTATTCAGACGCTTTCTAGTGTAACTGAAGCCAGAGGAGCTTCTGCCGTGAACATTTACAGCACCGACGGTAAGAGTGTGTGAAGGCCAAATCACAAATCAGATCTGATTAATGTCTGTGGTCCATTACCTAGAGATGTCAAACACTCGTTTCTTCCCTTCACTCTCTCTGATATGATGTTCAGCTGTGGTAACGGTGTTAAAAGCATCAGCTGATCACACTATCATCTCTAATGCCTCAGCAGTGAAATATAGAGAAATATAGCCCTGATCTTCAGCAGCAGCGTATGAGAAACAGACACTTGAACAGGAAACCGAAAGAGCTGCGAGAATGAATGAGATCTGAGATCTACAGCATCAGGAGGATAAATGCATGATCAGTTTGTGTTTTAGCTGAATTATTCCTGTAATGATTGAACGACGTTCACTGATTCACTGCTGAGGACTGAAGCGTCTTTTACTCTGAAATGAACAGATAGATCTCTGGGGCTCAGAGTCATCAGACAAAACACTGATTTACAGGGTCCGGAAACAAACAGACTCTCACCAAGGTAAAAGATGAAGAATTCAAGAACTGGCCATAAATAAATAATGTTGAAAAAGTAAATAAACAACACACACACACACACACACACATATACATATATATATATACAGTGGGGCAAAAAAGTATTTAGTCAGCCACCAATTGTGCAAGTTCTACCACTTAAAAAGATGAGAGAGGCCTGTAATTTTCATCATAGGTATACCTCAACTATGAGAGACAAAATGAGAAAAAAAATCCAGAAAATCACATTGTAGGATTTTTTAAGAATTAATTGGTAAATTCCTCGGTAAAATAAGTATTTGGTCACCTACAAACAAGCAAGATTTCTGGCTCTCACAGACCTGTAACTTCTTCTTTAAGAGGCTCCTCTGTCCTCCACTCGTTACCTGTATTAATGGCATCTGTTTGAACTCGTTATCAGTATAAAAGACACCTGTCCACAACCTCAAACAGCCACACTCCAAACTCCACCATGGCCAAGACAAAAGAGCTGTCAAAGGACACCAGAAAAAAAAGCAAATGACGGACAGACAATGAAATGTTGAATCAAAATATTTCTTTCTAAAGCTACTTTTTGTAGTCAATGGTTTTCTCATTTATCATAACATTTAACATCAAAAATTAATAGCACATCAACTTTGGTTTTGAAATGACCCCTGAATAGATAATTTATGATTAATTAGATTAAGTTTTCCCGTCTCTAGGTGTGTAAGAGAATCAGAGTTGGCCGAACAGCCGGCCGAGTTTCTCTGCGCACAGAACAAATACCTTCATAAACAAAGCAGCCGACATCAAACGGCACCGAGACGCACAGCCGAGCGCCGTAAGGCCATCAGGAAGGTGATCAAAGACAGAAAACGGCTCTCTCGCTCTCAGACACAAAGAAAAAATGAGTCTAAGACAAACACGTTCATTCAGGAGAGTGTGTATGGCTCAGGCGTGAATATAAACTCTGGAAAAGTCTCGGGCTCCATTAAGAGTCATCAGGAGATCCATCACAGCACATATACACACACACAGCACTTCAAACGCGGTGATTAGACGCCATGGCTGCGCTCTGCATCCCATTTACTGCGCTTTTAAGTGTAAATACGGTTAATATGAAGCAGCTTTCAGTGCTCAAACACTCAGCGTTCAAACACAAACTCAAAGGCAGATATCAAAAGACAATATACAGATACGACAGCGAGCGGCAGGACTGACATCTGTACACGGGCCAGACTGGAAACTCGCACTCATAAAAGCAGGGAAAAAACACATTAGCGCAATCATTAGGTGCATTGCTGCAGTCTGACTGTATGTTTTTCTTTTTTTGCTATTTGAACAGGTCTGGAATCCATAATTACTGTGCGAGCCAGACGAAAACATCTTAATGTTTCTGCCTCCGCCAACAGACAGACTCTCAGAAGACTGAATCTGAAATGAATTTTAGGACGGTTCAAAGTCCTCTAATGATTTGGCACACGATGCTTTAAAATAAATGATTTTATGCAAAAGCAGCTCGCATCCTCAAACAAAAGCTGTTTTTTGCTGCTTTAATCAAAGCACATGACCGAACGTTCTGCTCAAACGGGGCGATTTTATACACACACACACACACACACGAGACATAGCGTTCATTCCTGCAGTGATGTGCTTTCTGAACTTGTTTCAACATTAATATTTTTCAGGAGTGTGCATGGGAAGATTGAGTTTGATTCTAGAAACATACGTTTTCCAGACACCCAGGAAAATCTTTTCTCTCTCTTAGACAGTGATTTAGACTACAGGCCTGATTACCTGATCAACACAAGTGTGTGTTTTCTGGTATTTAAAGGGCACATGAAATGGAAAATCAAAATGTTCTTGATTGTTACACTTTAGAGGTGACTCTGCAATAATGACATACGGCAAAACGAACTGGAAACCTTTTTTGGTGCAGAAACTTTGCAAAGTTTATAAACTAACCATGAGAAACATTGTATACAAATCTGAAAATGCATGAGCCTTTTAAACTCATGCATGATATTTAAGGTTCACCTGATCCCTACAGACATGCATTCAACAATGAAAACATCAGAATGCATTGAGGAGAATCACGCCGATCAACACTGTGATGTGTCATATGTACTACATGATTCTGGATTGTAAATGCTTTTATTCTCCTCAGCATATATGAAGGTTTGTGCATTACATGTTTGGCATGATCTGAGGATTCCTTCATGCCTGAGGCCCTAAAAATGTAACAAGCAATTTCATTTTTAGGGGTTTGTTCTAAATATGAGCAATAGAGTTGCTTGGAAACAAAACAAGAATCTTCAAAAAGCAAAGCAGCAGAAGAACAGAGAGGAGGATCTGCTTACGTTCTCATAGAGCGCCTGTAACGTCTCCAGATCAACCACAGTGTTATCCAGATTCAGGATCGCTGCACACACAATCAGAGAGACAGAAATCAGCAGCTGAATCATCATCATCATCATCATCATCATCATATCCAAAAATAAACACACAAATATCACTAAAGCAGCACATTTGCCCATATCACGTGAATCTCTCCTTTCTGAACATCAAGCAACTGGATTATTCTATGAAACACATTCCTTTTGCATTTGAAAAGGTGATATATAAATATAAAAATAACACCCATATAAAAAAAAAAGAAAAGAAAAAAAGTTAAATATTTATCAGACTAAGTAGTCTTATATCCCTTTAGATTTCAATGATTAAAGATTAAAATAATTGATTATAATACATATTCAATATTCAGAAATATTCATAATAAATAAAGCCAAATTAATAAATATACGCAAAAACTAAAAGTAACAGGGCTGAGTTTTACAGTTCATTTAGACATTCATAGTCTTCAGCTGTAGCTCATGACAAGATTCTTATTAGAAAATTTAAAGCTTTAAACAACATTTCACAAATGGCAACAGGGTTGATCATTTAAGCACGCCCTTTAAAATAAAATAATTTTATAATTTTTTCAAAAAATAAAATACATTTCATTTTTTAAAAACGTTTATTTAAAAAATAATTTTATATATATATATATACACACACACTTTTTTTAAAAAATATGTTTTTAAATGCATAAAAAAAGCAGGCCAAAACTTAATTTTATTAATGAGGAATTGATGGATGGTGAAAAATGTCTATGGCATGAGGTTGAAAAACAAAAAGTAACTGAAAATGTTCAACTGAGAAAAAAAAAAAAACACTGTGGAAGCAAAAGCATCTCAGTCTTCAAAAGCTGCTCTAAAACGAGACGTTTACATCCGTGTGATTAACCGCTCTGAGTGTGTGTTAGGAAGTGAAGCGGGCCGTGTGTGATGACGTCACACGTCTGCGTTCGATTTGAGCATCACAACATCATACGACAGTCGAGGCCTGAATTCCTCTCGCTCCCTCACACACACACACACACACACAATCCATGTGCATGAGAGCTCTCAAACGCATAAACACACCGATTAGATGGAAATTAAGTGCAAGTTCTGCTGGCAGAATCAAATAAGCTGGCATTCCACGAGCGTTTCTGTCCGAGACGAGAGACACGAAACACACGAGTTTGTCTGACCAACATCCCATCACAACATAACTCTGATATTACAGTCAATATCATTTCAAATTCACGCTGCCATGTCATTTCACAATTGAAGAGTTCATTTGCAAAAACAGATAACTCATGAAAAACATGTTTTCCAATTAATCTCAATCAAACTGCAGTTAGGTTATTTTGATCAGGTTAAAAAAATAACAACAAAATACAGCTAAACACTGTGGAAGCAAAAGCATCTCAGTCTTCAAAAGCTGCTCTAAAACGAGACGTTTACATCCGTGTGATTAACCGCTCTGAGTGTGTGTTAGGAAGTGAAGCGGGCCGTGTGTGATGACGTCACACGTCTGCGTTCGATTTGAGCATCACAACATCATACGACAGTCGAGGCCTGAATTCCTCCCGCTCCCTCACACACACACACACACACACACACAATCCATGTGCATGAGAGCTCTCAAACGCATAAACACACCGATTAGATGGAAATTAAGTGCAAGTTCTGCTGGCAGAATCAAATAAGCTGGCATTCCACGAGCGTTTCTGTCCGAGACGAGAGACACGAAACACACGAGTTTGTCTGACCAACATCCCATCACAACATAACTCTGATATTACAGTCAATATCATTTCAAATTCACGCTGCCATGTCATTTCACAATTGAAGAGTTCATTTGCAAAAACAGATAACTCATGAAAAACATGTTTTCCAATTAATCTCAATCAAACTGCAGTTAGGTTATTTTGATCAGGTTAAAAAAATAACAACAAAATACAGCTAACACACAATAAAAATAAATTATAAATAAAAATAGATTAAAACACAAAAATAAAATAAATAGGTTTTTAAAAAGTTTTATAAAAGTTCTAAAATATTTTAAACCACCTGTAAATCTGGCCACGTCATTAAAAATCTTTTATTTGAAGGGGGTGCCCTGCAGCATGAATGACTGATTCCTCAGATCATCACAGAAAGAAGATATTAATAAAAACAAGTCGTCCAGCAGTGATGTGAATGCATGAGTTTGGGTTCACGTTCAGGGTCCATCTGATATGTGATGGATGCAGACGCAGCCCAGAGCCTATCAGAGCATCAGGAAACCCTCGCTGCCACACAGAGAACACAGAAGAACACGTCAATGCCCGGACGCCGCGCATTCAAACGCCAGCGTGGAAAAGAAAACAGGAAAGCAGCTCGCCAGAACAAAACCTCCAGCTGTACATCCACCTCGACCCGCCGGTGACCGCAGACCATCACGACCGACTAACTCTTGCCACAGAGCAAATACACCGCATGGATCAGACTTACAAACACACGTCTGGATCAGAGTCAGTGCTCAAGTGCTTCATTAACATCTTAATTAGCCTTTTTCACACGCTCAGCACGCTCCGGCAAACTCCCTTTTTATTTAGTCTTTGATCTCCGGTACATTTAAGCGCATCTCCGTTTACTCCGTCATTTCCCTCGAACCACCACATCATGATAAATTACTTAAAAATGACAACATTTATGACTAGATGCACATTTTTCCAGGAATACATTAAACGATTCTAACTGAGTCCGGCTGATGCATATTAAACTCAACACAACAATGCAATCTGATACAATAGGAATAAAGTCATGAATATGTATTTCCCAGGGCGCATAATACAACGTACATTTACGCCATCATGTTAATAATGCAAAGGAGAGCAAGTAGAAAATACAATATTTCTTTATTAATAATAATGTGAAAAAAATTTAGGTGGAGAGTCATAATGCAGTCAGCACCAAACGGACAGAACGGCGAAACTAACTGAATTATAATGGCCATCATTTAGAATTAAACAAACTTGTATTTGATGACCCGAGCTGACCAAACAGTTAATTGTGAAATGTTTGCACTTCGTAGAGTAATGTACCTGCAGTTCAAGCATTTTCATAATATCTCATTCGTAGAAAAACACTTTGCTTCTCGAAGAGCGCATCTCCGTTTACTCCGTCATTTCCCTCGAACCACCACATCATGATAAATTACTTAAAAATGACAACATTTATGACTAGATGCACATTTTTCCAAGAATACATTAAACGATTCTAACTGAGTCCGGCTGATGCATATTAAACTCAACACAACAATGCAATCTGATACAATAGGAATAAAGTCATGAATATGTATTTCCCAGGGCGCATAATACAACGTACATTTACGCCATCATGTTAATAATGCAAAGGAGAGCAAGTAGAAAATACAATATTTCTTTATTAATAATAATGTGAAAAAAATTTAGGTGGAGAGTCATAATGCAGTCAGCACCAAACGGACAGAACGGCGAAACTAACTGAATTATAATGGCCATCATTTAGAATTAAACAAACTTGTATTTGATGACCCGAGCTGACCAAACAGTTAATTGTGAAATGTTTGCACTTCGTAGAGTAATGTACCTGCAGTTCAAGCATTTTCATAATATCTCATTCGTAGAAAAACACTTTGCTTCTCGAACTCATTCTTGTTGAGTGCAGCCGCTGCTGTCACCGGAACAACTTTTACCCTGCAAGCAGCAGTCCAGGAGCCAGAAACACGGAAGAGTGAAAAAGGCTAAATCATACAACAATAACAGAATAATACAGACCGTGCTGAATGTCCTTCATGTCGAGATGTAAACTGGACATCAGGATCCCCACGGCCTGAGAACGCTTGGTGTTCAGCAGCTTCACCACCTACAACACACACACCAGAATGAGTGTTAATAAATGTTTTTGTGTATGAAACATTGTGTCTCATACACAACCGTGAGTACCTTACAGCTTATGCACATACAGTAAGCATAGAAATGAAGCAAATTATTTTAAGAGCATTTGCCAGATGGATGAAGGACACACAAACATGACCTCAAGTGCTTTATTGCTTTTAAAACACTTTGCACATAACCATACAAATTTGATTAACTTTTTTTTTTAATGCATTTATTTAAATTTTCGCCCTTTTTTTTCTTTTTTAAGAGTCTACCACTTGAAGTTTCCCAAATGGATACAAGATTGTTAGACACATTTTACATATTTCAATTTCACCTATTTTATTTAATCATTTATTCACTCACTCATTCAGTCATTCATTCTACTCATTAATTTTACTCATTCATTCACTCATTCATTCCCTCATTCATTGATTCATTCATTCACTCTCATTCACTCATTCATTTTACTCATTCATTCACTCATTCATTAATTCACTCATTCATTCCCTCACTCATTGATTCATTCATTCACTCTCATTCAATCATTCATTTTACTCATTCATTCACTCATTCATTTATTCACTCATTCATTTTACTCATTCATTTATTCACTCATTCATTTTACTCATTCATTGATTCATTCATTCTACTCACTCATTCAGTCATTCATTCATTCATTCACTCACTCATTCAGTCATTCTACTCACTCATTCAGTCATTCATTCATTCATTCACTCACTCATTCAGTCATTCACTCACTCAGTCATTCAACTAATTAATTCTACTCATTCGTTCACTCATTCATTCAACCACTTAAGAGTATACAAATGGATAAAATATTTTATGAGAAATCATTTATTAAAATTGTACTTATTTGTTAATATTTTATTTAGTTGATTAGTCTACAACTTGAAGTTTCCCAAATGGAAAAAAAGATGTCGTTAGAAATACATCCATTGTAAAAAATGATTTTTCAAAGTTGTAATTAAAACAAAAATTAGAGATTGAGAAAGTCACAAGAAAACGTTTGAGCCTTTCTTCCTTGATATCTGCATTTCCAAATATCTGTGAAATTTACTAGCAGTTTCTAAGTGAAAGTTGTTCCACTTAAATCCTACACCATTTTTGTTAGTATAGATGTTTACTATAGATATATAACAGATACATGTCAAATACAACTTGACCTCAAGTCTCTTACTGCTTTTCTGCTAAATAAATACAAATTAGACTAATTAAAGTCACCGTCCACTTTAAGAGGGTGTTTCTCAAACCCTGGAGGCTTCATGATTAAAATTAAGATTAATTGCTTCCAAATAATGTGAAGTCGCGATACTCATATCTGTTGTAATATGAACATTACTTCATGTCAGACGAGTGCGAGTCAATCATCAGATCATTACAGCATCTGTGTGCGTAATTACAACTATTTGCTTATTACGTCTTGATTTGAAAAGGAAAGTGTTTTTGGCCAGAAGAACAAAAGCCAATTCATTCAGCTGATCTTTATCCATCGTGAGGACAATGAGCTGAGAGGTGATGGAAACCCCACAAACACAGTCTCAGAGGAACCAGAGCACAATACAGATCTGGATCCAGCTGATCTGAAACAGGAAGCTGCAGAAACCTCCAGAACCACTTTGTTTTAATGAGACCGGCAAACAAACCAGCTTTAAAGACGCTCGATGGTTTTTCTCTGCTGTTGATGCCAGAAACACGCAGCAGACAGAAGCATCCACACGCTCTCTCCATGCTTCTAATCAACCTTCAAACCTTTCCTTCAGCAAAAAATGCCAGCTATGAGCAATCGGCGGAGGAAAAGCGCTCTTTTATTGCATGAACCCTGAATAGGTCACATTACAGCGCAAAACGCAACAATTATCAACTGCAGGCAATTAGACCAAACAAAACATGTTACTCTATCAAAAGAAAGCATTGCCAGGCAACTCCTGACAGATACGGAAACGAGTCGCCAATTATTTCACTCATTATTCCGTCATGTTTAAAACACGGCTGTGTTCAGTCAGTTCTTCTGATGCATTCAAAATCTGTAAGCTATATAAAGAATCTTTCGTTTAGGAAAGTCATAACTTCATATTTTTTCAACTAAAATATACAGTTTCTGATCACCATGTTATTACTGCATTTATCCCTTTTGTTTTAGTACTTAGTTTAGAAACTCTTTGAAATTACCACACACACAAAAAAGCTATGCTGCTATATATATATATATATATATATATATATATATATATATATATATATATGTGTGTGTGTGTGTGAGACATTCACTCACTCATTCAACTAATTAATTCTACTCATTCGTTCACTCATTCATTCAACTAATTAATTCTACTCATTCGTTCACTCATTCATTCAACCACTTAAGAGTATACAAATGGATAAAATATTTTATGAGAAATCATTTATTAAAATTGTACTTATTTGTTAATATTTTATTTAGTTGATTAGTCTACAACTTGAAGTTTCCCAAATGGAAAAAAAGATGTCGTTAGAAATACATCCATTGTAAAAAATGATTTTTCAAAGTTGTAATTAAAACAAAAATTAGAGATTGAGAAAGTCACAAGAAAACGTTTTAGCCTTTCTTCCTTGATATATGCATTTCCAAATATCTGTGAAATTTACTAGCAGTTTCTAAGTGAAAGTTGTTCCACTTAAATCCTACACCATTTTTGTTAGTATAGATGTTTACTATAGATATATAACAGATACATGTCAAATACAACTTGACCTCAAGTCTCTTACTGCTTTTCTGCTAAATAAATACAAATTAGACTAATTAAAGTCACCGTCCACTTTAAGAGGGTGTTTCTCAAACCCTGGAGGCTTCATGATTAAAATTAAGATTAATTGCTTCCAAATAATGTGAAGTCGCGATACTCATATCTGTTGTAATATGAACATTACTTCATGTCAGACGAGTGCGAGTCAATCATCAGATCATTACAGCATCTGTGTGCGTAATTACAACTATTTGCTTATTACGTCTTGATTTGAAAAGGAAAGTGTTTTTGGCCAGAAGAACAAAAGCCAATTCATTCAGCTGATCTTTATCCATCGTGAGGACAATGAGCTGAGAGGTGATGGAAACCCCACAAACACAGTCTCAGAGGAACCAGAGCACAATACAGATCTGGATCCAGCTGATCTGAAACAGGAAGCTGCAGAAACCTCCAGAACCACTTTGTTTTAATGAGACCGGCAAACAAACCAGCTTTAAAGACGCTCGATGGTTTTTCTCTGCTGTTGATGCCAGAAACACGCAGCAGACAGAAGCATCCACACGCTCTCTCCATGCTTCTAATCAACCTTCAAACCTTTCCTTCAGCAAAAAATGCCAGCTATGAGCAATCGGCGGAGGAAAAGCGCTCTTTTATTGCATGAACCCTGAATAGGTCACATTACAGCGCAAAACGCAACAATTATCAACTGCAGGCAATTAGACCAAACAAAACATGTTACTCTATCAAAAGAAAGCATTGCCAGGCAACTCCTGACAGATACGGAAACGAGTCGCCAATTATTTCACTCATTATTCCGTCATGTTTAAAACACGGCTGTGTTCAGTCAGTTCTTCTGATGCATTCAAAATCTGTAAGCTATATAAAGAATCTTTCGTTTAGGAAAGTCATAACTTCATATTTTTTCAACTAAAATATACAGTTTCTGATCACCATGTTATTACTGCATTTATCCCTTTTGTTTTAGTACTTAGTTTAGAAACTCTTTGAAATTACCACACACACAAAAAAGCTATGCTGCTATATATATATATATATATATATATATATATATATATATATATAATGAGTCTGAGTGTGAGAGAGTGTGTGTGTGTGAGAGAGAGCGAGTGAGTGAATGAGTCTGAGTGTGAGAGAGTGTGTGTGTGAGAGAGAGAGCGAGTGAGTGAATGAGTCTGAGTGTGAGAGAGAGTGTGTGTGTGAGAGAGAGAG